TGAACATTGTAAAGAACAAAGTAGAAATGTTCTAAACAAGATGGAAAAAGAAATTGCATTCATGTTCTTTGAGTCGAAGCAGCAGCTTTTGAATTTTTTCCTCTTTATCAATTTACTACTTGCATATTTCTGTGATGATGGAATATTTGTAGGCTGATACTGGGACAATAATACAAACACACTTAATATAATCCACTAACATTATATTCTGTCTGAGCAAATTTATTAAGCCCATTAACAAAATGGAATCTTAAGAGGATTAAGTTGAATTGTCATTAGTGGAGGGGTTATGCTGCCCATAATATCTCCGAGGGGCTTACCCATGAACAGAGAAAAGATGCATGAAAAGACCCTTTTGTGAGTGAACTTATTAATACTCTTTCTACTTTGGTAACCAGGTTAAGGTCAATAATGACTATACCATACATTTTATTTAGGCACAATGGTAAGTAATAAAAAATATCTAGACAGTGTATTGCTCAGATTACAGGAAGCTATTTCAAAGTACCTAAAGTTCTTTTTTGTTTTGTTTTGTTTTTTTCATTGACAAGGGTTCCTTTTTATATCAATCTTGCAGGGGACAGGCATTCATTCTTTCTTTCAATAAATATTTTTATTGAATTTATTGAGGTGACATTATTAAATACATTACAAGTTTCAGACAATTCTATAGTACATCATCTGTATATTGTATTGTGCATTTGCCAACCCAAGTCAAGTTTCCTGCCATCACCATTTATCCTCTTCTACCCGCCTACCTACTCTCTGGTTATCACCAAACTGCCATACTGTTGTCTGTATCCGTCAGTCTTTCTTTTTTTTTTTCTTTTGCTTAAAATCCCTCACCCTATTCATCCAGCCCCCAACTCCCTCCCCTTTGACAGCTGTCAATTGTTCTCTGTATCCATGAGTGTGTCTCTACTGTGTTAGTTTATTTTGTTCATTAGATTCCACATGTAGGTGAAATCATATGGTACTTGCCTTTCTCTGACTAGCTTATTTCACTTAGCATCATAATCTCCAGGTCCATCCATGCTGTTACAAAAGGTAAAATTTCTTTCTGTTTTACAGCTGAGTAGTATTCCATTGTAAATGTACTATGGCTTCTTTATTCTCTCATCTACTGATGGGCACCTTGGCTATTATTAAGAATGCTGCAATGAATGTTTTTGAATGGCACCCTAAAAATAAGCCTGGTAAATAGCAAAGCAGAAATAATGGTGAACTAGACAGGCAAGGGCCTTGCACTTATGAAACTTTGAGTTAGGACAGCATAATTTAAATGTATTTTTATTAATTTATTTACTACTTACTACTTCTCAGTGCTTTGATGCAAAATGCCCAGTATGATGCTAATGCATTGGAAGAAGAAAAAGAAGCCAATGTAAACCACTAAATCTCCATTCTGGTTGAGCAGATTTATTAACACATTGTTTTAAAAAACAGAGCTTTAAGGACAGTAAATTCTATTGACATGGAGGGAGATGTTACTCTGCCCACATTTCTCTGGGACACACTCATGAATAGAGCAGAGTGATTTAAAAAGAAAACCTTTGCAAAACAGTCCACTCTTCCTTAGTTTGAAGCGATTAAGATTAAGAATGACTGTTTCCTACACTCAATTTAGGCAGAAAGATAGATTAAAGACATATTCAGAAATGCACTGGTGAGACCACAGAAAACTGTGTCAAAGTCTTGAACTTTAGCTCTCAGTGTCTTTAAATAAGAGCTTTTTAGGGTGAACATGCTTTACCCAGAACATAATTTAGTGCCAACTGCTTTTCTCAGGGGACCTTTTGCATCCTTATTTCTTAAACTACAGATCAGTGGGATTAACATGGGGATGAACACAGAGGCCATTTTATCCATGTCCATTGAGTGAGTTGAACTGGTTCAGAAATACATGAAAAAGAGTTTCCCCCAAAATATTGCCACAGCTGTTGAGTGGGAGGCACAGGTAGAGAAGGCTTTGGTCTGCCCTGGGCTGAGTTAATTCTAAAGATGGTAGTTTAATGCATTAGGAGAGGAGGACAGTGGAGATCCTGGAGCCCACAACACAGCTACAGGAAATGAGCATTGCTATCTCAGTGAGGTTGTATCTGAGGAAGAGAGGCCTAGTAAGGGTGGATTGTCACATAAAAGTGATTGATATTATTGGAATTGCAGAGTAATAATTGAATTGCATAATCATCAATAATTGAGGTGACAATTGATATATTCATCAAACCTTGTGGCTAGTGTGTGCTATTGTAGCTAATACACACACTAGCCACAAACTGGCTGCACATTCTATTGGACATGGCAATTGTATAAAGAAGTGAATTGCAGAGGGATTCCAAAATGCTGTTGGAGTGAATAGAAACTACACAGACCATCTCCCCTGACCAAACTGGAATTACAACTAAAATAAAGACAAACCACCGGAAAACGCAACAGAAAAGCACTTGTAAGGACCATATATCCGGGGGCACTGAATCGATCCTAGTAGGATTGCAGAGGTACAAGATGGGGTTTTGGAGCCCACAGACAGCAGCAGTCTTAGTTGTGAGTAATGCCCTCAGGGCTAAACTCCCAAGCCTGCTCCACAGCACGGAGATCCAGGACAGAGTGCTAAAATAGCCACAGCCACTCACCATGGACTCTGGCAGAGGAAGGGTGGACTGGACTGAAACTGTGTGAGGACACTCGGGATTTGGAGGGCACTCAAAGCTTTTGCTGAGTTGTGGCCACGCAGGACTGTGGCCATCTTACTCCTTCCCAGGGCTCTGGTGAGAGGCAGTGGCTTCTCCTACGGAGATTCAACCCCACTCAGGTGGGCCATTGAAATGCAAATTAAGGCTCATTAACAATAAGCAATTGCCCCATCTCAGGAAATCACCTTACACTGAACACCTGAGGGAGTTTTTTTTATTCAAGGGAAAACACAAGACTTTTCAAGTAACCAAGATTACCAGCCTTCAGGCAAAAAGCTAGAGGATAACTGAATCATTTCTGGACTTGTAACTCTACCTGGGAAGTAAGACTTGACAGTGGTGTTTAACTTGGGTCCTCCCATGCTCATCTAAACCCAGTAAAGGGAGCCACAAACAGCAGAACACCAACACCCACAGGGAAAATTTGGCAGACTCTAAAACCCACTGAGATAGCCAAAATGGTGAACCAAAGAATCAAATCCCAAATGAAAGAACAAGAGACATCTACCAAAGATGAGATAAACAAATACAGTTAAGCAAGTTAACAGAGCTAGAATTCAGAGCATGATCCTGAGGAAGCTCAACAGGATGAGTGAGGACATCAACACCATGAGTAAAGACATAGAAACATTGAAAATCAACCATTTAAAAATGAAAAACCACCAAGAAGAAATGAACCATGACATAGCAGAAATAAAGAACACATTGGAAGGACTAAACAGCAGAGTTGAGATGCTGAGAACCGGATCAGTGAATTAGAAGACAGGGTAGAAAAAAATCAACCAATCAGAAAACCAAAAGGAAAAAACAATTAAAAAACAGGAAGACAGCTTAAGACAACTGTGGGACAACTGGAAACGTAATAATATTTGCATCATAGGAGTCTCCAAAGAAGAAGAAAATTAGCAAGGGTTAGAAAATATAATTGAAGAAGTAGTAACAGAAAAATTCCCTAATTTTGTGAAGAAAGAAGGCATTCAAGTTCAAAAAGCACAGAGAGCCTAAAGTAAGAAGAACACAAACAGGTCTTCACCAAGACTCATAGTAATTAAAATGGTAAAAATTAAAGAAAAAGAGATAATCCTAAAGGCAACAAAAGATAAGCAACAGGATACCTACAAAGGAAACCCCATAAGGCTCTCAGCTGACTTCTCAACAGAAACACTACAGGCCAGAAGGGAATGGCATGAGGTAATCAAGGTCATGAAAAACAAGAATCTGAATCCAAGACTATTCTACCCAGCAAGGCTATCATTCAAAATAGAAAGTCAAATAAAGAGCTTCCCAGACCAAAAAAAAATAATAATAATAAAGGACGGGAACACATTAGCACCAAACCAGCACTGCAAGAAATGTTAAAAGGACTGCTATAATTAGTAGAAGAAATAGGAAAAAAAAAAAAAAATAGAACCACACTAAACATAAAGAGCAATAAATAAGTACATAAAAATAATCACCTTAAATGTAAATGGATTGAATGCTTCAATAAAAGAACACAGAGTAGCTGATTGGATAAGAAAGTATGACACACACACATATATATATATATATATTGTCTACGAGAGACCCAACTCACAACAAAAGACTCACATAGGTTGAAAGTGAAGGGATGGAAAAAAATCTTCCAAGGAAATGGAAAGGAAAAAAAAAAAGCTGGGGTAGCAATACTCATATCTGATAAAGTTGATTTCAAAATGAAGGCCATAACTAGAGACAAAGAAGGCCACTACATCATATTGAAAGGATCTATCCAACAGAAAGATATAACCTTGGTAAATATATATGCACTCAATATAGGAGCTCCAAAATATATAAAAATCTTCTGGAGGACTTCAGAGGAGAAATCAACAACAATACAATCATAGTAGGGGACTTCAACACCCCGCTGACATCACTGGATAGATCCTCTAGACAAAAAATTAGCAAAGAAACAGAGACTCTAAATGAAGCACCAGACAAAATGGATTTAATAGCTGTCTACAGAGAATTACACCCCAAAACTACAGAATTCACATTCTTCTCAAGTGCACAAGGGACATTCTCAAAGATAGACCACTTGTTAGGGCACAAACTAAGTCTCTACAAGTTTAAGAAAATTTAAATCATATCAAGCATCTTCTCAGATCACAACGGCATAAAATTAGAAATCAATTGCAACAAGAACATGCAAAGACATTTGAACACATGGAGACTTAATAACATGTTATTAAACAATGAATGGTTTACCAAGGAGATCAAGGAAGAAATTAAAAACTTTTCTGGAAACCAATAAAAATGAACACACAACACAAGAAATTTGTGGGATGCAGCGAAAGCAGTTCTGAGAGGAAGTTCATAGCACTACAGGCCTACATCAAGAAACATGAAAAATTTCTAATAAATTATCTAACCTCACAACTTAAAGAACTAGAAAGCAAACAGAAAGAAAACCCCAGAGCAAGTAGAAGGAAGGAACTAGTAAAGATCAGAACAGAAATAAATGACATAGAGACCAAAATAATTCAAAAGATCAATGAAACAAAGAGCTGGTTTTTCGAAAAGATAAATAAGATTGACGGACCCTTGGCTAGACTTACCAAGAAACAAAGAGAGAGAACCCAAATATACAAAATCAGAAATGAAAGAGGAGAAGTAACAACTGACACCACAGAAATACAAAGGATCATTAAAAATACTATGAACAATTATATGGCAACAAATTTGACAATGTAAGTGAAATGGACAAATTTCTAGGAACACATAGTCTCCCCAAACTGGACCAATAAGAGATAGAAAACTTGAATAAACCAATAACAATTAAGGAAATTGAAGATGTAATCAAGACTCTCTCAGCAAACAAAAGCCCAGGCCCGGATGGCTTCATGGGGGAGTTTTAATGAACATTCAAAGAAGAACTAATACCCATACTCCTCAAACCATTTTTAAAATTTCAGGAAGAAGGAAGACTTTCAAACTGGTTTTATGAAGTCAGCATAATTCTAATTCCAAAACCAGAAAAAGACACTACAAAGAAAGAAAACTATAGGCCAAAATTCTGAATAAAATACTAGCAAACCAGATGCAGCAATACATCAAAAACACTATTCACCATGACCAAGTGGAATTCATCTCAGAGATGCATGGCTGGTACAATATTCTCAAATCAATAAATGTGATACACCATATAAACAAAATGAAACAAAACATGATCATACCAATAGATGCTGAAATAGCATTCAGCAAAATCCAGCACCCATTTCTGATAAAAAATGCTAAGCAATGTGGGAATAGAGAGATTATATCTCCAAATAATAATGGCCATATACAAAAGACCAACATCACACTCAATGGGCAAAAACTGAAAGCATTTTTCTTAAGAACATGAACAAGAGAGGATGCCCACTTTC